AAGAGACAGAAAGGGCCACATAAACCAGAGACTTCATCAGCCTGAGGCCAGAAGAACTAGATGGTGCCTGGCTACCACCAATGACCACCCTGACAGGGAACACAACAGAGTCCTGGATGGGAGCAGGAGAAAGGTGGGGTGCAGAATTCAAATTCTAGTAAGAAGACCAGACTTAATGGTTTGAGATTGGAGGAACCCCAGAAAGCATGGCCCTTGGATTCTCTATCAGCCCAGAGCTAAAACTACTTCCAAGACCAACTCTTCAGGCAGGATTGGACTGGACTGTGGGACATAAAGGAATACTCGTGAGGTGTGCCTCTTAGCTCAAGTAGATACAAGAGACTAAACGGGCAGCTTCTGTCGGGAGGTGAGATGGTAAGGCAGAGAGGGTTAGGAGCTGGTTGAATGGACATGGGGAATTAGGGGTGGAAAGGATGAGTGTGCTATCACAGTATGGGGAGAGCAATTAGAATCACATAAGAATGTATGTATAAATTTTTGTACGGAGGAAAAAAAAGCTGAGTGATGACGCATTTGGACATATTATATACAAGCTCAATTTTATAAGAATACTACCTTACAACTTTAAAATTCCTTTTGCCATTTAAAAAGTGCTTCTACATATATGATCTTATTTAATCATTACAATAATCCTGGGTGGCTGGTAAGACAGAAATTTCAACAAGGGCTCACACACAGGAGATAAGTGAGTTTCACAGAACTGTGAAAGGCAGACCCTGGAACTGAACGCAACGCTCATGACTTGTTAACACTTGTACTCTTTCTAGTAAGATGTGGGTTTCCATCCATAATACAATAATGAGAAAGTGTAAAAGTCTTACATTTCTTTTTTTTAACTATAAAAAATCGAACATTTCAGTAACATTTCAAATGTACAAAGAAGAACCATCTATCTATGCCATCATCATTTGCTTGCTGGAGGCCAGGTCCCCACTCTTTAGGGCTGTGGCTCTTAGAGACCTTGTGTATCTTTCGGCATCAGCCAGATTCAGGGACTTTCAATAAAAACCTTTATTCCTATTTCAGCAATCTTCCAGTGACCCATACACTAAAGCTAAATATCATTCAAATACAAAATCAAGGGAGAAAACCTTAATGAAAAGGTCTTTTTAAAGGGGAAGGACACAAATGGTAGATACATTAAAGGAAGAAGGCAGAGAATGTAAACCACATGGAGCACACAAAGCTCCACAATATATCAACAGGAGGAGGTTCAATCTGAACATATACATATTTTTAAACTTTTGTTGCTGTTGTTAGCTGCCACTGAGTCGGTCCCTGACTCATGGTGACCCCATGCAAAATAGAATCAAACCTTTTGAACTTTAGAGAACCATGTTGTATTTTGGATCCTTATGGAAATTTTTTTAGAAAATAATTTTGTAGTATCTGGCACAGCACAGCTCAACAGAACTTCCTGCGATGATGGGAATGTTCTAGAGCTGCACTGTTCAATACAGTGGCTACAATCCACATGTAGCCACTGGGCACTTGGAATGTGGCCAGTGAGACAGAAGAATAAAATTTTAAACTCTATTTAATCTAAATTTAAATAGTCACATGTGGCTAGTGGCTACTGTACTGAAAAGTGTAAACCTGGAAGTATTTTTTAGCTCTGTAGTTCCTGACTTTAATAGTAGGATGAACTAAAATGCTGGCATCAAAGCAAGCAAAATATTAACTGAGAATTCAATTGTATCAAATAAGTAATCCTCTGATTACATCTTGTCTTCATTAAAGATTACATATACCCCTCCCATCTTCTTTTTCCCACGTTTTGGCTCTTTTTCAAGTTGAACTCTTTTTTTCTAAAATTTTCTTCACTACTCTTACAAAGAATGTTGTCTCTCTGAGATATGAAATCCACACTCCAACTCCTAGCTAATACTGAGTGGTGCAAGTTGTGGAAGCAAAGAACGTTTTCCTGAGTAATGCTACAGGTTGTTGTAAATGTGGCTTCTTCCTGAGTAGAACAACTCTAACGTTATCTAAGTTGCCTGACTTCACCAAGACACCACTGCAAGATGCTGCTTTTTATTTAAGCTACGGAATATTAGTTATTTAAAACTTTTTTAAAATAAAGGTTGTGGCTAGAATACAAATGAGTCTAGTCTCTGTATAATTTGCTTAGTCTCCATGCAAACTAAGGAATGAAAACTGAAATAACTTCAAATAAAATGATACAATAGCTAACGTGGCTTTAAAACACAGTTAACCCTTCAAGTTTTGTATCAATGATCTTTAGACTCGTAACTCCATTCTTCCCATCTTGGTTCTCCCAAAATACAGTTAGTTTTTAATAAGCACTGACTGCATATATCTAACAAAGAGTTTCAAACCATGGTAATCAGTTAATATTTTTGGTCAATCTAGTGCTTCTTCTAAGTTGAAGCATTCGTGAATTTTGTCTCATTTAGGAAACCTAACAAAACCAAACACTAAGTCTAATGCACAGCACAATAATTCAAGCTACTGAACATGCTGCTTTTACTTAATAACTTTACCTGTTTCTGAATGATTTCACTTTGATTAGAAGCTTGGAGGGTGTGTTCACGCTTAATTTCTATCTGTTGCTGCTTCTTCTTTTGCTGCTGATCCCTGAGTTGCTGTACCCTCTGCAACTGCTCTTGCACACTGGCTGCCTGCACTGTAACCACATTCTGAATCTGGTGAGTCTGCACAGGCCTGCTTTGCTGAATTTGAATAGGTAACTGGAGTTGGATTTGCTGGGACACACCACCTTGCTGAGCCTGTATCTGAGCCACAACCTGTGACGGGATCTGAGAGAGAACCTGGACTTGTTGTTGCAGCTGAGGCACAGCAATGACTTGGGGCTGTGGCTGCTGTATTTGTAGCTGAGGACGGGATGGGGATGAAAGAGTAACTTGATTTAACGTTTGTCCTGATGAAAGAGTTTGAGTTGAAGACTGTACCTGGGGTTGTGACTGTGGCTGGCCTTGGGAAGGTATCTGAAGAGAAGTATGTGGCTGAATTGCAATCGGCTGTGAGGCTGTAGTCTGAACCTGGGGTTGCTGTCCAGGAGACACTTGGGATGGAGTTGATGGACGTATTCGAGTCTGTGGTGGACTTTGGACGCGAACAGGAGACTGTCCTTGGACATTACTTTGAGGCTGACACTGTACTGCAGCTTGGGGTTTGGATGACTGTGTTTGGATGGGTTGTGCTTCAGAAGGAACATGGGATGAAACAGTCGTTTGGGTCTGAACTTCAGGCTGAGTCTGAACTTCAGGCTGAGCTGGGGCTGGGGGCTGGGCTGGGGGCTGGGGCTGAGCTGAAGGCTGAGCAGTTGGTGGTGGGGTTTCTGGAGGGCTGACACTGGATGACTGAGCTGGTGGCAGGGTTTTGGCTTGTTGCACCTGTGTCTGGGGTGATAATTTACTCTGTCTTTGTTCACTTGTACCTGTGAAAAAGAAAGATCAAACATTTCAATTACTCTAGAACATAAGACCATGTTTAAAGCATTTAAGGAATTTTCTAAAGTTAAGAACTCTGTGTTTTAGAACAGAAGATTTATGCCTTTGAAATGTTCTATTTAGACATGCTTGGGTTAGGGCTCTTCTAACGCTGGGGGCCTGGGCCCCATTACACGGCTGTCCTCTACACACCCTACTGATTCTTCAAGGCTCACAGACGGCTGGTTTCCAAAGCGAGGCACGGCCTCTGGAAATGGGCCAGGCCTTCTAGCCCAGGCTAATGCCAACCCTCACTTTCTTCCTATGGCAAAGTAGTGAAGGAGGTAAACAAAGTGGATCTGAAGCTGCAGGTGGATCTCAATCCCAGGTTGTGAGCTGGACATACTCACCCTCTGTGAGGTCATCTCCATGAGTCCATCAGTGCTGCCAAGGCTTGGCAGGGCCTAGGTGTGGGCATAGTTACCATGATGGCCATTATTTTTTGCCCCCCTCCCCCATCCCTGGTGATGGTGGTGATAAAGAGTCTCTAAGAAGAAGGTACAAAAGCATCTGAGATCTTGTGAGGCTTCAGGTATGTCCTCCCAAAGGTGGGCATTTGTCCCCCTTTGCCTCCTCTGTTAGCCCAACAGCTGTGATAATACCATTGAGCATTTCTGAGAAACCCAAGGTTCTACCTGCTGCTGTAGTGGAGACGGTGGTGCTTGTGGTGCTGGCTGTTGTGGCTGTCGTTGCCAAGGGGGTAAAGAGGAATCGTTGAACAGTACCATTTGGCATCGCAGCTTGCATGAGCTGCTGTCCCGGACCTGGAAGTACAGTTACCCCTTGAGGTATCAACTGCAATTGCCCAGTAGTTTGACCTTGTCCTTGAATTACTACTGTCAAACCTTGATTGCCACCCTGTGGGAGAAAACAAATCAAGTAAACAGTGTTCAAAGCATCAATCTGTATGTAAGCATTTTTATTAAATCATTTTTATATTGAAAAGATCCTTTAACATAATGAAAATATATACCTAAACGTCTATGGCAATAGCACCAGAAGGCACTTATGTCTTTTGTATGATTTGTTTATATTTGTGAGATTCATCTGTGTAGTTCTGAGTAGCTGCAGTTTGTTCATTTTCATTGCTGTAGGAATGTAACACACTTTACTTATCCAACTGGTTGTAGTTTGGGTTGTTCCCAGTTTGGGGCTTTATAGACAATGCTGCCAGGGCTATGAACATTCATGTACCTGTATCCTCGTGTCCACGTGAACAAGAAGTTCTCTAGGGAATATACCTAGAACGGGAACTTCGGGGTCCTGGGCTATGCACTTCTTCAACTTTACTAGAGAACGCTTAGGAAGAGTTTGCCAAAATAGCTGAACCAATACATACTTCTACCAGTAGCGCAGGAGAGTACATTCTGCTCCATGTCCTTGCTAACTTCTGGTTTTGTTAGGCAATTTCAATTTATACCAATCTTTTCGGTATATAATTTTAATACACACTTCCCTGATTACTAATAAAATTGAGCAGCTTTTGGTTTTTCAAACATTCTTCAATGTATCTTTCCTTATCAACTATCTATATGGGGCTAAACTGACAACAACAACTTGAAAGATCAGAGAGGACTCTTAGGGAGCAATGAGTTTATGTTACTGGTGGAGGAACAACTTAGAGAGGGAGGGTGAGAATGGCTGCACAACTCAAAGAATGTAATCAACATCACTAAATTGTACACGTACAAACTGTTGAATTGGTGTTATGTTTTGCTGTGTATATTTTCAACAACAACAACAAAATAAATAAAATTAAAAAGCAAATGCAAAACAATAAAAACAAAATCTTTCCTTATCTAGTATGTTTGCTCTTTTTTTCTACTGAGCTATCTGGATTGTTCTCTTCTTGATTTGTAGTAATTCTTCATATACTCTAGCTAATATTCCTCGACTAGTTGTAATTATACCTTCTCTCATTCTTTTCACTTTTTATAGTGTTTTTAGATTAACTGAAGTTGTTATTTTCAATATAGTTGAATTTACAGGAGCCCTGGTGATGCAATGGTTAAGCCCTTGGCTGCTAATTGGAAGGTCGTTGGTTCGAACCCACCAGTGGCTCTGTGGTAGAAAAGACCTGGCAATCTGCTCCTGTAAAGATTTCAGCTTATGAAACGCTATGAGGCAGAGCTCTATTCTGTCATATAGGGTTGCTATGAGTCAGAATCAGCTTGACAGCACACAGTAACAGTTGAATTTATAAATCTTTCCTTTATGATTAGTGTTTTTGTGTCTTGTTTGAAGTCTTTCCTATGCCAAGTAACATATTCTCTTATCTTCTAAAAAGATTAGTTTTGCCTTTCACAGGGAAGCCTTTTAATCTGCTAGAATTGCACGTATGTACACAGTGAGGCACTGGCCCAGTTTCATGTTTTCCAGTATATAACCAGCTGCCCAGTACCATTTACTGAAGGGCTGTCCCTTCCTCAATGACCTGAAATCATAATGAGTGTCCACATGGGTCACTTTCTGCACGCTTGACTGTCTCAGTAGTCTGTCTGTCTATACTGTAGTCTGTACCTCACTATATTAATCAGTGTAGCTTTATAAATTCTGGTATCAGGTTATCACACAGGGCAAGCCCTTCTGCCTCACTGTTCTTTGAAAGTGTCATAACTATTCTTGGTCCTTTATACTTCTATACAAATTTTAAAATAAGCTTATTAAGTTCCACAAAAAAACCTCTTAGAATTTTCATTGGAACTGTATTTTCAATGGCATTGCATCCATTGATCAATATTGGAAGAACTGATACATTTATAATACTGAGTCCTGCAAGGAAGTGGTTTAACATACTCTAATTTTAATTTTCCCATGGAAAACAGTCAACTAAAAAAATTTTGGTGGTAAAAGGGTTATCCATCTCACTAGTATAGCTCACTGTCAAAAGGACTCTAGATAATTGAAGTTTATTATATCCTACCTGAAGGGAGTATTTTTGTTTGACCCCATGAAGCAACCATTTCTTAAAACAAGTACATTCTTGAAGTTACGAAAATTAGTACCTGTTTTTAAACTGACAGCAGGAATAAACAAGGTCACCTCTAAAATGAAAATAAAGTCATCATTACTTACTTGACCCTGTGTTAACTGAGTGAGCTGAGCCATGGTAAGCTTCACCTGTCCTTGCTGGGGACGGGGGGGCTGTGAGGTTGGTGACTGCAGGCTTGCAGTGGGTGCGCTTGATGTCAGTGCTTTCTGCCCAGGTGCTGAGGAAACAGCGTTAGGGGCAGAGACTGCGGTGGAAACGGGCTGCCCTCTGATGATCTGGGTCACCACTTGCTGAGGGGTACCTACGAAAACAGCAAAACATTATGAATGCTTGTATGCCCTTAGCGTCGAAACGGTTTAACACTTCACGTAAACGTACTCTTTTCAATTTTCAATAAGACTTATGGGATACCAACAACCCAAGGATGCATTCAGACATATACCCACACCCAAAGGACCAGCTGGTCGTCAATGTGTCCATTTTCATTAAATTCACTGACAACCAATATTCAGTTCCCTCTAGCTGAAGTGAAAAAATAGTTAGCGTTCTTCCTGAGTCTAAAGTCAAGATGATAATAGATGAGAGAATATGTAAAATATGCCATTGATAAGGCTGTCTTTCCTTAGGAATATAACATTAAAAATAATACTCTAACATATAGTTAATTCATATGAATTTTAAATAAAATACACTGAATCTGGAACATTCTGGGCCAAATGAGCTTCTCTTACAGCTATTTTGACTAATAGTTTAGGTGAACCCATAAGGGCAAGCACCACTATATCCGCAATACGAGGGCAAAGTGCTCAAAGAGTGCCTACAAAGTAATTGCCCAAGAAGTGTCTACTGAATGAATGAAGTTTAACTGGAATGGCACTGCATTCTTCCAAAAACCTGAGTTTCTCATCTAATTCACTGAAACTGGAAGAAAAAGCAGGTGGATATCCACCACCACCACCACTACCCCCAC